TCTTTGTCTGTCTGAACGTCGTGTGCCTACCGCGAGACGACGAGCGACGAATCGTTTCGATTTTTCTGTCGTTTCTGCGGCGGTTGTGACTCACTCGAGCCAGGTAAAACGCTCGCGTGTTGTCGATTACGTAAAGAAATATCTCGGTGGGGGGAGACCGTGATATGACAAAGAGAAGAGGAGAGGAGAGGACTGGACAGGGAACATAGTAATTAGAGACACGGTCTCGGTGCAACGAAAGAGCAGAGCTGAGAACTGGTTCTACCGTTAACGGAAATCGTCTCCGGCCAGATTCAGAACCAGCTACCCCGCAACAAATGCCCTTTACGGTGCTTCCGGTTTTGTAACGCGGCCTCACCGACCAGGAACTCGGTCAACTCGATCGGAGACCAGCGTTCGTGATCGATTCCCGGTCGAGTCTTTCAAAAACGGTCCACGAACGATGGTTCTTCCGCTGCTTATAGCGAACGTCTTCTGTGTTCACGATAGACGAGAAAAACAATGGGAAAGTTATTACAAACGAGTCTAAAACTATCTTTTGTTCATTGGAAAATATTCTGAAAGGTCCTGTATGAATTTTTTGTTCTTTGGAAAATGCCAAAAGTGGGCATTTGTTAACAATTTCAATATATCGAGCAAGTCACAATGACTTGTACGAATGAATAAAATGAAAAGCCTATATTTACATACAGACTATATTCCTTCGCGTTTTGATCTATTACCAAACGAAAATATACATGTAACAAAATTAGCTACATTCTGCGTACCTGCAGCTGTAAATATATCGCAGATTATACGTAGTACCCATTTCTAAGATTTTAATAGTATTAGTAAATTAGTAATTTCCATTCGATGGAAGATAAAACGCTCTTGAAAACAAATTTCCTTTCAAGTCGATACCGTAATTAATTCCAGAGAAAACAATTTCCAAAAAAAATGGCATAATAATTATGCAAACACCCCGTATAATTTTCAATTAAATAAACAATTTATGATCCAGTTTTATCGCACATCGGTCGTATAATCAATAGAAATTGTTAAAACTGTTTTGGGTATATAGGGTCAAAGTAAATTTCAAAATAAACATAGAAGATAGTAAAAATTATAGTAGCTGCTATAGTCATTGGATAGGGGATGAAATGCCCTTTAAAATGAGCGTTTGTACGAGTCGATAGCTTTATTAGTTCCGGAGATATGGCGATTTTAGTTTCACATCGATGCGGTGGCTAGTTACGGAGATATAAGGGTCCGAAGTTGTTTGTTTACTACGGCCTTGTCAAGGTCGTTGATCGCACGTGCTCGTAGTAAATAGTAAACACTACGTCACTCGGTCACTCGGTCAGTGGGTCAACGTGCGAGAAGGAGGTCCGACCGCGTTAGACGAAGACAGAGATAGTCAAATTAAAAAAAATTACCATTTACATAAATTGCGATATCTCGAAAACGGAAAGTCCGATCGACAAAAACCAAAAACCATTTTAAAGGGGAAGGTTCACCGCTCCTAACGATCGCTCATTTATGCAAAAAGCACGAGTAGTTTCAGAGCAACGCGCGCCTAAACTTTTAGTATTTTTAATACGCGTTGTTAGACTGTTTTAAGACAGTGGACACTGAAAATTCCTTTTTTTCGTCTTCGCTATACATAGGAATTTTGTCCAGTTTTTTACAAAAAAATATAAATCATTCAACCGGTCAGATGACCATGATAGGCAAGACGTTCTCATAAAACAAACAATAAGAATAGAAGTGAATATTCTAAAATTCATTGCACCGTATACTATAAGAAAGTCGTGAAGTTAAATGGTGTTAAAATAACATTGTGTGATAGAAATTCTAGACAAAATTCCAAAAACGGTAATTTGTCCGATAGTGGTAGGTTTAATGTTGATCGAAGTAGAAGAATGTTTAGTCTCATAAGACTGTCACTCGTCTAAAAGACTCGTGCACTCTTTATCTTATCTCATGAAGCCTAAACAATCTCCAAATTATTTCCAATTCGTTGACGCATTATATAAACAAACTAGAGATAATTCCAAAAGACCTACATATCCCGCAAAACGGAATACAATTAAACATAGCAGAAATTAAAGAAGTCACATAAGATCGTAAGAAGAGATGGAGAAACGATCTATCCTAACATTCATTCACTTCATTCCGTCCCATTCATTTATTCGTCAAGAATCAGTCGGTCAGTGTCAAGTATTCATTCGTCAAAGCTCAGTCGTCGAGTCATAGAAGATCCATCTACTAAGAAGAAGATCATTAATCTATCGAGGACGAGAAAACGTCTGCTCGGAAGAGGGAACCAGCAGGACGAGTAACCATTTCCTAGGAGTAATAGAAGAAGAAATTCTTTTATTCGGAGTTAGCCTATACAATTAGAATAAAAAGATTAGTCATTCAGACTACAATTTTATTATAGAAAGTTAAATAAAACTCATGGGACTGAAAACTGGGAAATGATTGCTTTAGAATATCATAATCGCATTGTACTCTTTTTCTGTAGCCTCCTGTGATATTTAGAAACACTTAGAATCCATCAGGATTAGAATTACAGATAATTTTAGTTTTCTTATTTTTATTTCATAGATAGTTTTAGTTTTCTTTTAAATTTCATATATATTTAGTTTCTTTATGTTTATTAATTTTATCTTTGTTGAATACTATGATTTAGTTTAATGAATAACTTGATTTCTTTAAGAATAAAAGTGTATTACCATCGCCCTAGGGTAAGGGACAATTGCAACACCTTCTCTGTTTTCCATTTTTTTACCAATAACTTGAATATTACTTGGCATACAATAAAGTAACCGTAAGTGAATACTATCAGATAATTAGGTAACATTTTCATACAACAATTATTGTATTCCAAATTCAAAGTATTACTATTGACCTCAGTCTCCCCTACACCCAGTTCTACCATCCAACACGGAATTCTTATTATTTGTTAGATCATCAAAATATCCAATTCTGCGTCCAGGTTAAGATCTAGCTAGACTCCTGAGGTTTTTCTCAGCTTTCACCCACGTCTTTTTAATGGTCCTCAGCTATCCGTTCGTTCGATCAGATTTTTTTTTGTTCAATCTTGTCGTTTCCCTAGCTATCGTTACTCCTCTCCATTTTCCGCTTCGCTTCTCCTCCGATTTCACACTCAGTCTCTCCTTCGTTCGTTTCTGTTCCCTCTCTTCGTACCGTCTACCGCCTCTTCCCCGTGTTCCAGTCGGCGATGCCGCCACGCAACGTGAGATTAGTTCCGCAGAGCTGGCGACGACGAGTAGCCTTGAACCAAATTGCGGGTTGTCGTTGTTTAGTTGTTTAGCTGGCGTGCGCGGAGAAACCCGGCGTATTCCGTATGGCTGCCGGACTTTTAGAACGTCCGTCCCGGAACGCGTTCGCTTTTCATCGAGAACGTTACGAGATTTTCCGTCAAGAGACTCTCGCTTCTTCGGCTCGTTGCTTATCAGACACCGGTATATTACTGGCTTTTTAAAATACTAGTTCTGGCTCTGCTACGCCATTATCGGAATGCTCAATCGTCTCGATGATCGACGATGATGGAGGTTCTACTGTGTTAGAAATAAAAGAAGCGCATCGAACCGTGAACAACCGGGCCATTTTGAAACATTTTAGAAATTGCAAGATTTCTAAGCCATGACAGAACCACCCCCGTGTTTCATAGTTAGTATAATGTTGATTTAATCGCTCTTTCTCCTTACTATATGGAGAATAGAACTCTAACAGCATAAAGTAATACCATTATCTGTGAAACGATCAAGAAAACGAGTAATTTCGTTTCGTTTTTGAAACAAGAACTCTCGTTAGCAGTGGCTAATGCGTTAAAATCGAAAATTCCAGTCGTTCGGAGCGTGAAATACGTGTGAAAATTACTCGAACGCCATTTATTGAACCACTCTGTACATTGTTGGTATTCACCGTCCCTTGCATCCACTTTATCTCGCAATATTGATGCTCCGAGCGGCCAGAAAATTTACCATACGTTCTCGTTCGGCCTTAGAATACGCGATGACATGCTCCCTCCCCGTCCCGGTGCGCCGCTTTGCACCTTTTTCTTGGACGGTGTTGAAAGCCGCGGCCATCAGAGATTGCTTCGTGGAAGAAAAGAAAAAAAGGAGCCGCGGCTGACCGTCGCTGGCCTTGGAGATGTTCCTCCAAAAATAGTGAGCCAACCCGGCACCGATACGACCACCTCGGCTTCTTCTTCTCTTTCCTCTCATTTCGCCGCGTTCCTTCCGCGTTTTTTGTTCCACGAAAACCGCGTTAATTGTTCGCGATAGGCCGTGACCGTGCCATTTTGAATGAACGTTGTTCGATCTGCGTTCATCCTTGAGCGTTCCGCGGTTCGATTTTCGCACGCGTTTCGATCCGAGGCGTCAAGTAGCATGATCGTTACTGTGCAAGATTATCATCCCTAAAAATATGCACCACCTTCGTCGAGATATCGAATCGTATAGAAATACGCTTAGTTTAGGTGAATTGGACTATTGGAAAATAAGTTCCAACTAAAAAAAAAAATGATACGAGTCATCGATCCACTGTAACGAGATAATAGTAGCATTTTTTCTACGAAACCCCTCAGATCTCGAAAATGAATAATCAGAGGTGAAATTTAGAAATTACATTATGATTGGCTTATTAGATAAATTAGAAAAAGAATAATACTAGATAACCACTATTCAAACTGGAAGAATAAGCTATGCAACAGTGGAAGTTTTATCTAAATTGGTTTAGTAGTTCTCCAATGTAATCTAAATGAACTAATTTACATAGTAGTGTAGGTAATAAATAAAATGTGATTAGTAGATACATTTACTTACAAACCCTATAGTTACGAAATTCACGAAGGAACTGATCTAGTTCCTAGAAATTATGTGAATTTTACGTCACAATTTGCATCTATAAAATTTATGGACACTCTATTTTAGAAAACATTGTCGCTGATACTTTGTTGGTAATAAGTATGAAATTTGTATGGTTTCCAGGGAAACAAGGCAAGGATGGACCGGAAGAGAAGAAGGACGCTGATGGAGAGCTCTGGGGCAACGTGGAAGCGCAAGCCGCCTTCCTCGGCCCAAACCTTTGGGACAAAACTCTGCCCTATGATGCCGACCTGAAGGTATTGAACCATGTATGTACAAAAACGCGAACACGGTAAGCCCATAAACCCGGCTGAATATGAATCCCAATCGCGTGGATCTAAAATATAAACCAGACAATTGATAAACAACCAAAGAAGAACGTTCATCGTGATTTCTGTTAATGACAATTAGTCAAGAAGACCACTTTTATTCTTTGTCGCGGAACAGAGATGGTAGCTTCGGTTGAACTTTGACAAAACTGAAACGTTGTTAATTCTATTTTACATAGGTTCTAAACGTCGAACGTTTTTTATAGAACAAATTTTATAATATCGTAATAATACGACGCGTAAAAATTGTCATCGAATATACGAAAAATTAGAAAAAAATTGAAACGATCTGAATGCCTGTTTGTGAATTCTTGTGTCAGGAGTGTATGGTTGAACAAACTGGACGCCTGAGTGTAAAATCTGGCAGAGATAAAATACATCTCATACTATGAATACGATATGAATGTGATTGTCATACACCACCATACTAGTCGAGTGTAAATAGTAAACAAAACTCCATCAGAAATTTTCAATTGTGTTTCATGGTCAAGATGAAACTATTCGTGAGAGAAGTCGTCAAAGGAACTTGTACAAAGTCGAGGTACCAGTGTTTAAATAAAAAAAGTCTGAGATCTCTATAAACGCATTCTTCTAAGGTTCCAAGTCGAATAAGGTTTTAAAATTCAGACCAATCGTAAAAGGATCACGGTTGAAGGCAAACGAACTTTAAAAATGCTTGAGAGCTCCAAAGGATAAGCGACGCGACTGTCGCTTTACGTCGATCACCGAAATTGAAATAGGAACCAAAACGAAACGATGGTTGTCTGTTACAGTACGTGGATCTCGACGAGTTTCTCTCCGAGAACGGCATTCCTGTGGATGGTGCAGCTGGTGGCGGACAGGGGACGATGCAGAGCGGGCAACTGCACAAGATCAACAACACCGAAGCACCAGGACACCAGGGACCAGCCGGTCTTCACTTGGAACCGGTCACCAAACGTGAGAGATCACCCTCGCCGAGCGAATGTTGCTCCCCCGACACGATGAACCCTCCCTCACCCGCGGATTCCAGTGAGTATACATTACTTTAGTTTCCCTCTACTCCACTATTCCCAAAATACCACTACCAATTAAAGTTCATTAAAGGTAATGTTCCCCACCAATTCCTGGAACTGCATCGACAAGGTGAACGTTATAAGCCTTTTCATTAAACGTTCATACGTAAGACTAATGATACTTCTTCGAAAATGTGTAAATTATGTTTATAAATAAGGAAGAAGGAATACACGAGACTCGGATATTGAACGTGCTAAAAAGATACGAAGCAATTACAAGGGTTGACGTTATTAACAAGTCAACCTTCACTGTTTTAAAGTTAAGCTACCGGAATTATGCAATTTGTAAAGAGAAACTATATATTAGGTTGTTCGGGAAGTTCATTTGACAATTCTGAAGAATCTTGTGCGTGAAAATTCACAGGTGACTATCAGAGAATTCGTCAGCACTATGTAGAAGGCCGTTTCCACTGTGCATGGAACGTATGCTAAGATATGTAGCTGGGACAAGATCACTTGGCTTGAAATACATAAACAATGTATCAAGCAATAAATTGACGAGAAATAAAAAGATTGTTCTCTTGAAAAATGTCTTCAGCTGAATTCGAATCTGTAAGACCGTACTATTAAATATCTCCTGAATTGTTGACCGAGGCAATAATATTTGTTGTACTTGGCGTGGTCTGAATGAGACACGAGGGATCTCATCGTGATCGCGGAATCGGCCACGTGCAACGACTATGATCTATTCGAAGTTTTCGCGTCATCGTATTGAATTAGACTAACATCGACATTGTCGATTGATTATTCCTTCTCCGCGCGACAGATTCCGAGGACTCGTCACGAATACAATATGGCTTTCTTGTAGCGCTCTCGATGGCCTCATCGGGGCGAGATTTCGATCCACGTACCCGAGCCTTCTCCGACGAGGAGCTCAAACCACAACCGATGATCAAGAAATCACGGAAACAGGTGAGTTTAATCTCGTCTCGTCTTCTTACATGGACCATTCCATGCTAAATCAATGGCTTGATGTCAGAAATTTTAATGTTATCAAAATATCTAGTTTGTATAAAATTAGGATTGGAGGTAAAGTTTAATTCTCGTAATACCAAAGGAAAGTGGTACGTTGTGTCCACCATGTTATTATTTTGATCATTCCCGCTAAAATAATTACTCAAATGTTCTGAAAAAATTAGATATTCTCTCAACGCGTGGAAACTAAACGCTCCATAATTTCAATATCATCAAAATTCTCAAGATCGAGGTATCATCGAAGAGATCGATTTATCGTGGAATGGTCCATACTCGCTCGTCGTACGATCGAAAAGAGGCTGGTTACTTTTGTAACAAGATCAGCTAAGAGTACATGGTATCCAAAAATAAAGCAATAAACCCTCGAAGCAATTTTCCATAACATGGTTAATACCTTGTATGAACATATAATACTTTAAAAATATTATACAAAAATGTAGTCAAAACAAGCATATTTTATTTTCGATAAAATTTTTCCATTGGAATGAGTTTATAGAAAAAATTACATACTGTATGTAGTATGTATCTATTTTGGCAGTTCGATCGTGTAATTCTACCATGTATAAAATGACTTTTCGATCGCACGAAATTTCGCGAACATTAAGCTTGAAATCTTGAGCTCGGACATGTTTTGAATCTGATCTAGGACGTCTAATCTAATTTTTAGTCTTATCTCATTTCTGATCTAAGTTCTAATTACCTTCCGTTTCCTATGACCCACTGCCGTGGCCACAGTTTGTTCCGGATGACCTGAAGGATGACAAATACTGGGCGCGTCGTAGGAAGAATAACATGGCAGCGAAACGATCACGGGACGCACGCCGCATGAAGGAGAACCAGATCGCTCTCAGGGCCGGCTTCCTCGAGAAAGAAGTAAATCTTCCCACGCCTCTTAAATTATCGAACACATTAGAACAAAACTCTAGATCGTTTCATCCTATCGGCGAAGCTATCACGACGAAAAAATGCTTTCTATGCTCGAGAATCACTTTTGATGTAAAAGTTTAAACAAATCGGTGTAGCGATTCTCGAAGGAATATTGTCACCAGTTCTAACAACATTGTCTCGAAAAAACGCGTTTAATGTTTTTCATTATATCTGCGATCCTCTGGTGGATGCTCCGTTCTTCAAATCTGCATAACTGAAGCAATTTTGTTTTTTGATGTTTAACAACGATCCTATAGTATAATCGTTTTCACAAGCTAAATACATAGTATAATAGGTATACGTTGCATTGTTTACGAAGGTGGTAGAGGAACTCGAACGAAACAGAAAATGTTTTATTCATTTTGCTTCTTTCTACAGTTTAGCTCTTATAAACATTTAAATGTGTAAGATTTTTGTACAAAATAACATAACTTGGGCATACAGATGTTTCACCCTAAAGTAGCCATAGTAGTTAATTGTTTGCAATAACCCAGTAGCCAAAAGAGTAGCAATTCTTCGCAGAATCGAAATCTGCTACAATCATTTGTTAGACGTCCCTGAGAAAAATTAACGGAATAGCTAAACATCTGGTTCAGCGTTTGCTTTTACAAACAGCTCTTCTTTCGTTACACTTGACTACTCCGCGAACGACCTCTTCCTTGCTGTTACTAAAAACTCAAGGGTACTCTAAACAGATACCGTTACATCGAACAGCTTAAATCTTCAGGAACCTTGTTTCAGTGTACTTATAATATTCACAAAAAGTGTAATTCTAATAATTTATAATGAATTGCAATGCTATTAAATGTAAGTTGTTACTTATGTAAGAGTTCCTCTACCATCTCTATCACTCTGTGTAATTCGAGTTGTGGACAGTTAAAAACAAACGGACCAAAATCCATTCTACTCCAATTCGATCAGATCATGTTCATTGTTTCACATCGTAACATAGTAAAATTTCACCAAATTGAAACGTAACTTGCTTGTTTCTCAGAACATGGGCCTACGGCAGGAGTTGGACCGGTTAAAGAACGAGAACATGCTGCTGCGCGACGAGCTGAGCAAATACACGGACGTCTAACAGCGCGGCGGCGAAGCAAGGCAACAGCTCGTACCGGTGTTAAAAAAGACGCAGAAACGAGCGTTTGTTGCGTCGGCTCCTCCCACAGTTATAGTCGCAGCACTTAGGTATCGCCAGTCCGGAAGGGAAAGAAGGAAAAACGGAGCGCGCCGAATCACAAGACCATCCTCGACAATTGAACAGAGCCCACTTTCCTAGGGGATCCCGAAGATATCCTTCTAGAAGTTCTGCTATTCATCGATTCTCTCTCTCTCTCACACACAGACACATTCTTCTTTTACTCCTCATCCCCGCCCATCCTCCCGAGAAGAAAATCTTTCCATACCCCCGCCCAACTCTTCACCTCCCCTCCCTTCCCCTCCCAAAGTGTACATAGTTATATGTATAGTTAGATTATATGTATACGTGCATACATACACGGCCGTGTGTATGTCCTGTCTGTAAGTGTGAGTATATGCGCGTGTGTACAACCGCCTGTACACCTGCGTCCACGTGCACACGTGTATGTCTCTGTGATTATATACGAAGGATATCGTTTGCTACACAGTATCCACATATATATCTATATATATATGTGTGTGTGTGTATGTATGTACATACATATATTACACATGTACGTATGTACATAGAAGCCTACGCGTATACACGCGAGGTCGCAGACTTGGATGTCAGTGTGCGTGCCAGAACGATGTGCACCATGGTACCAGTGTTCTTCGTGAGACTATTAGGGGGCTTTTTTTCATCGATAATATTAATAAGGAGACGGACGGACAAACGTGTCTGTTTTTCACTAGCGGAGGTAGAAAGGGTACAGTGTGATCTACCCAAGACGGGTGTCTCGAGAGTACCGAGCACTGGCACGCACACGCGAAACGGCTCGTAAGCCGGGCTGGAGCTGATTAGAGTAATAAGCGAAAACTGTATGAACATAAGCACAGACAGGCGCGAGCGTAAACGATCGCCTCGTTGGAAAAAGCGGCCGCTTAGCCACGCGCTGGCTCTCGAGCTTCTGTTTGTTTCTTGTACAATACGGCCCCGCATCAGATCGTGGATAGATTCTTAGTCTAACGTTTCCTCGTTGCTTCCTCGACCTTCCTCGTTCTTCCTCCAGTCTAGTTCCCCGTTCAAAGGATTCCTGGGGTGACATCTATACAAAAGGATTTCTAGACGGTACCTATACAGATCTCACAGTGGCCTATACGAGGGATTTATAGAGAGACCTGTACAGATCTCTACAGTGGTCTCTAAAATAACAGATATAGAGGATCTCCGGAGTGACCCATAGAGGACCTGTAGAACGTTCTATACAGGAGATCTTTATGGATACCTAAACAGGAATCTCTACAACAATCTCTAGAATTATTCACATGGAAGATGTCTGAGCGATCTATACAGGAAATCTCTAACAGAACCTATACAAGAGATCCTTACAGTGGCCTATGCGGAGTATCTCTAGAATTACCTGTACAGGGGATTTTTGGGACACCTATATACACGGGATCTCCAAGGCGACCTATACAGTGCGTTTAGAAGATTTTTTAACGACCCTACGACGTCACAGTGAATCAACTACAGTAACGAGCATTATTTTGCCACGACGTGGTTCTGTAATCGACATGCACACATTGAAGGATAATCTAACATTTTGTAGACCGATAAAGGAATTACCAGTTCTTTGATCGCATAAGATACCCGTACCCTGATTTGGTTTCTGAAATAGTGTAAATTATTGTTCAGTCGTCCTTGTACAGACGTAAACGTTGTAAACGCAGAAAGATGCGAAAGGCAACAGAAATTGCGGTAAAGGATTCATTCTAGTCGAATTGTACCATTTTGTCGCACGAGATTGTTTCTTCGGAGATGGGGGAAGAAAAAAAAAAGAATGCACCCGGTACTGAAGGAAGATAGAGGAGGGTAGAGCGTCCGAATCGGCGGTTTATAAAGAACTAAAATTACGAACGAAGAATACTTGGGAGAACGACGCTTTCTTGCGCACGGACTAGGTCCTAGTTCTCTAAGAAACGTTAATTACTGTAGCGTATCCCACGTGGTGATGGTACACAAGTGATTCTAGTTGTTTTTATCGTAAGGTAGATCAAGTGCTTCTTTTTTCCATACATAACATTTTATCTCTTCTTTTATGTTCATTTCGGCGCTCGATTGTATGCTATTCAATCGCTCGAAGCAGCTCGAGTGCGGGGAAAGCGTTGCGACGCGTCTCTTATTATCGTTTTGTCGCGCTTCGATAGTCGACAGATCGTCGAACAATGGATATTTAATCTTTTCTTTTGTAAATACTTTAAGGTGAATCGTACTATTAATTTTCTTGGAATTCAAGGTATCGTTGTATAATGTTTGTTGCTAGTTTAATAGCATAAGATTTGTAAAACGTGAAAATTATTAGAGAACAATTTGAATTTGTTCCACGGATATGCAAATTTTTTAACGAGGACAAAGTGCTTTTTTTAAACGAATTGAACCGTAACCTCCATTGTTGAAGGTATCACGACGATAGGGTTATACAACAATTGGAAAAAATTCTACACCAAGAGGGCTACCTTTAGGCAACATTAAATGTATCTCTATTCGTAGCTGCTTCCTCGTGTCTCATGAAATTTAATATATCATTACAAGTGAAAAAAGAAATCATGAGCGAAGCTCACTCATGCGCCTTTCATGGATAATACATGCGACTAATATTTTACATACTGTTGATGCGTTAAATAAGCGATTCTGCTCGTTGCAACGCTCAGTGACAATAATCGAGTATAATTATACATATATATACATATATGTTTTTTAGCACTTTTTGCGACATAAAATCGACACTGAGAGAACGTTCCCAATAGGAGAGTCTTTTACATTATGCTTGTTACCAATTGTTTATATTGTCGATTATTATCTTACAAGTTTATTCGGTTGCTTGATCTGTAACTCCACGAATTCTCGAAGAGCTTCTACTATTATATCGTATTTAATACGTTATATATGTATATACATACACATATATATATGTATATTTGTAGATAAACACAAAGAAATTAATTTTTGTAGGAAGCCTTGTCGATTTGTTTTTATATGAAAATCATTCTAGTTGAAAAATAAGTATCGTATCGTTCAACCGAGACTTTAGCATTTGTCCAAATCCAACAAGTGTCCATACTAATTTCTTTACTTTTGTGACCACGGGTCAGGGAGCTCCGTAGAATCGATTATGTTTTACATTTATAAATTTTAGTCGGATAGAAATCCGTGTTACTATCGCGTCGACGTTATGGACATTGTTTTACACATTGTTATTGTATACATATATGTTCTATTTTTTTTTCTGCCAAGATTTTATGCATGTTGTATAATGTGAAATTTTTGTAGTTGATAGTGTACGCGGGCGGATCTCGTGTCGCAGTAAAATCACGCGAATGATTTTTAAGTTCAGCCAAACGGATTCGATATCTAAAAGCGACTTGAGAATTCCTTCGTACGTATACCATTACTTGGCCGCGAAATAATGAAAGGCGGAAGTAATAATTGTTATCTGTGCGTAACCAACAAGTCGAACAGCCGTGCGTATGAATTCGATTCATGAATGTTGCAGAATAGCGCATTGTAAACCCCCGCGTGTAGTACGTGACAAACAAAAAGTGAGATTATAAGAGCCCGACAAACGAAAGCAACACGATATCAGGAGCGTCGCGCGACATTTACGGTATATCGGCTCTCATCGTTCAAATTTAATTGTTACGCGACAAACACGCCGTTTTTTTAATGTCATGCAGCCTAACTAAAATATTAAGGGAACTCATCGAATCGTAAAAGAAAATTATATCAACGGGCTATTTAAGCGCGTCCGGCCCCATGGCCGGGCGTACAACGGACAGAAATTTCCCCACACAAAACGAGAAAGAAACCTTTTGTATCTCCGCGTCGTAAACCTCGAGCGTATAGAAATTGCAAAAGAAAAACAGAAAACAAGAAAAAAAAAAAAATAAAGAAATATAGCAGGCATTCTGATTGTTTCTCGATTGCTGCGATAGCTGACAAAACAGTCGTCCGATTTGTAAAACCGAGAGAAAAAGAGACACTCGTTCACGTTTCTCGAAGATCGATATTTCTAAGTACCTTCTAGTACAAGTTGCTATTAATTAAATACGTCGTAGCTTTCTAAGTGGCCGGTCTTGGATGTTGGTACGATTTAATAACGCGACAAACGAATAAGCGCAATAGCATGGTCGATGATACAAATAAAAGTACACGTGCGCGCGCGCGCGCGCGTACACACAGTCCGAGATTAGTGAAACCATTATGGAAATCGTAGAGAATTAGAAACATGGTAGACGTAACCGACAGCTTTGCTCCAGTTAGAATTAACGACGATGATAAAAGCGAGGGAAAAATTAGAGGTAAAAGAAAAAAATACAAAAAAAGAAAAGGAAGAGTTTAGATGACGTCGCCGCGTCCGTAATGACACGCCATCCGATCCATTGAAACGAAAAACATTGAAACGAACACGTGAGAATTAAAATACGACCACCAACGTCAAAGTGTATCACATTTCGAGAAATATATGTATTTGTTATTGTTTTCATTGATTTATGTTGTTGTACCTGATCCTGGATCCCTTGAATATCTCGAGCTTTCAGAAATCCGATGAAACGGTTTGCATTTTGTTTCAAATTGAAATTACATAAATTTTTGTATTTTTTAACGGAATGTAATTTGATTTATTATTAACGCGAAGCTATCCATTCGTCATACAATGACTGATTCAGTAAAATCATTGGGTCACTGAACGCGACAAGGGATATTACTACGCAATACCGTTGAAAATGTTGCAACAAACAATAAAACAATAACGGAGAGAAATTTGAATTGCGACGCGTACGGATTTTCTATTTCTTACGTGCCGACGCTAGATGGCTATAGCATTTGTCGGTCCGTGACAATCGTTTCATATGTAGTATTCGTTTTGTGTTGTAAGGAGGCGTTTCGAAGGAGCTGAGTCTATTTTCATAATCACGAATAAATAACAATTGAATCTCGATCGTCGACAGCGATTGTCATAGTAGTAGAGTGCATACTAGTTCGCAATTATAGGTACAAAGAAGGTTTTACATCTTGACAAATGCCGAATACATCCGCTATAGCTCATTTACCATTAAAGGTAAATATTATCGAAATACTTATACGTCTTTTGTCTTTTGTCTCTTGGTAATCGACATTTTTACTATGCGAAAATTATTCTGTTCGCCTTTCGAAATGTTATTCGATGCATGTTATTATTGTTATTGTTTCCTTTTACATTTTTACCGCTTTTGCCTCGCACGTCCGCATATACTGCGCCCAATTATGAAAACAGTTGTCAGATAATCCCGGTGTCGTTCTATTGACGCAGTATATATTTCGTTTGAAATAAGATACAATTATGTAAGGGTATATGGCAATGAAATAATTCCATAACTTGCTTGACAAGTTTCTTATACTATCGAAATGGGTTATGCATTACCGTCATTATATTTTCGGGAAACCACGTCCCAGAACACAATACACTGACTTTGTATTTTGTGATCATGTTTCATGATCCCTTCGAACTTTTTCAGGTGATATTTGCTATTCATTTAGTGCTAATAACATGGTAAGAATAAACTTTATACTCTATTATGTATTAATCTATAATGTACTACTACTTAATAATAGAGTACTATATTCAGATATTCTCTATAGTACTTAATTATTAAAAAATCAATTTTTAGGGGTATTCAGGGGAATTGGTGTCCAAAATCAGTAATGTTTTACAATTTTTTATTCTTTATCTGCTTATTATGGGCTATTCATAATATAGAATCAGACGAACCATTGCAATTCGTAAGTAGCTGACATTAATTTCCTGTGTAATATTTTATTGAAATCTATGTATAATACTGTTGATCGTTTTAGGCCTTTTTCATAAATGTAGTTTCTATATTTTTCGACATAATAACATTATCAGTTTACTTTCCAACAACATGTAAGTTAGCACTGATTTCAAAATTAAGTTCAGAGTAATCTAAATGCATGGAATTACATTGCTCTGATTAACCTCCCGATACGGAAAATGTATTCATCTGATTGCACAAACTTACAGCTTCGTCTGAGAAGTTTAGCGCAGGGATTATGATTATAAACATGATTGTCCGTATCCTCACAAGCGTATATCTTGTACGAATAGGTCAAGCAAGAGGTGGATGTTTAGCAACAATGTTTGCTTCAAGATCAGCGATGGGTCAGTAACACATTGGATTCAGTTCCTTGTTTTATAGGCCTGCATTGCTTCCGCAAGGTTTTTTGCTCTAAATGGGTACAGTAGACTTTTTGTAAAATAAGTGCAACATACGTTAATTTGAACAATTTGCATGAGTAACTGTTATGTTTGAATTATTTTAAAGCTTGCTAGTGTGTTTGTAAGCATTTTGTGTACGAGTACTGTGATGCATGTGTTGTGTCGTTTATCTTGTATATACAACTTATGGAGCCAAGGAGCTGAAAACATATGTTTACTAGTTGTTTTTTTATTTTAGACTTTGGTCGAGAAGATTACGAAGACATATCTCACCCGATCCCACAAAATTCTGACTTTGCTGGAATTTAAGAATAAAACATATTTTCAAAATTCTATGTATCGAAAATCACGCGATATTGTGTCACATCTATGTTAGCTCATAAGATGTTCGTTCACACATAGTTTTCGATATTCAAATCTATTTTTTGGAATCGAAATTCCGTACTTAAAGAGCTCTTAACAACGATAATACTCAGTATGAATGAGCAAGTGAACAAGGCAAAAAGAGGTGATTATTTTTTTCGAAGGAATCGTTTTCTTTCATTTTGTACCAGAGCAATAACAAGAAGCATCGAAACACGGCCTGCTGTTTCAGCTATCGTTATCTGTCCATAAGTTTATGACAAATTGTATGATAATAACACACAAAGAAATATTGTATTATTGTAAAAATTATATCTTAGTTATACATTTCATACATCGAACCTACGGAAATTTATTCTGTATGACTGTTTGTATTTATAACTTGTGAATAAAAATCTTAACAGCGGAATGACGAGACTTCAATGTCTAACGTTATTATTTAAGGTGTTCGAGCGTAAACTGACCCGAACGTTCCTGTGATTAATAACGATCGAATGCAACACGGGCCCCCCCCCCCCCAAGGCCGGGGGCACACGAGCGTCGAAACGACGTCTGCTTTTATGCCCTACCTTGTCTTACAATTGAAAAGACATAGGAACGTCGATTTTATCTGTCTTCGTTGTTTTCAATTGCAAGACAAGGAAGAACATAGAAACGCACGTCGCTTCGACGCTTGTGCACCCCGGCCTAAGATGGTGAAAATTGAACGAGAAGTAAGTTTTCTTCCGTGGTAAAATTAATAAAATGTTTTACATTTTTAAAGAACATAAGTTTACAGTACACGTTTGTAGAATATATTCTTTGAAATGTTTATAAATAATGAATGAAAATATAAAACTTACATATAATGTCTCTTGGAAATATGTTCAGCCGTTTAGGTGCAATCCTGTTCACAGACGTACATACGTATTTAGGGATCTGGTCATTACGTTTCGCTCCTGGTCTGATCACACGTTGCTCGCATGCAGATGTTTATATTTCCTTTGCTTCCCTTTATAGATCGGAAAGCGAAAAGAATGACGGATTTTAAAAACCTGATGTGTAGCCCATATCACACTGTTCAGACACTTGATCTGCGTACTTTCAAAATGTCAAATTTTTGTTTTACGTTCGTAGAATATTTGAATTTCCGAAGTGTTCCAATACGGACAAATTTTATAAGTATGCAGTCTTAGTTGGACTAGGTTAGCTCAAACACGTATCGTAATTGATTCGAGTGGCGAATCGCTACTTAGTATTAAACGGTTTAATGTATAAAAAAGTGTCTGGATCAGTACAATCGAACTTTCGTAATTACGAGAAATAGACAAACAGCGCCACCGCGCGGCACTGGGCAGTGTTATCAAAAATGTTGAGATTTTACTAGAAATTGAAGAACTAAATAAAACAAAGTGTGTTTGGGTTAGAAAAGGAATAAGTAGAAGAAATTTATTGGAAGCTTTAGGTGGTCTTCTGAAAGTTCTAGAATTAAGATAGTACAAAATACTTTAGTATGCTCAGAAGGTTGAAAAATTCTTTGAATTTATTGTTGAACAAAAATAAGTCGCGAATTCCATGCAATGACATTTTTAATACTAATAAACTTAACCAAAGAAATAGGTTGATAGATTTAGTTAGCTACATACTAGTGAATGGTGGGGAATGATTACTCGACCACAGTGTTACCAGACGGCAGATCGGTGTCATGAGGAAACTGCACCTCCGCTTACATACACTAATGCACAGCCATGTGTACGTGTGCTCCGGCGCTTCAGCAGCTTCGGGGAGTCGAGAAAGAAGGCGAATGTGAATCTTTCCGTTTCACATTTGAAACAACTGGAATCCTACTTTACGTCAACCGGCATACGATTTCGATTCTCGATTTCCCAAGCATTTCTTCCTTTCTGATCTATGTGAGTACATATAAGGAAAGTATAATGAAAAAAAAATTTATTTCCAAAAAAGAGTCGAATGTTTTACATTTTAATAGAATTAAAAAATTGTAAAAGAATTATAAATTCATCTTAGACCAGGAAAATCCAACGAAATGGATTTCGAGTGAATTTAACTATTTGAGCAACTTGTTTTATTCAATTACCAGACTTGCCTAAATCTGTTTTCAGTTGAAGTAAGAAAGAGCAAGATTCAAAGCAGCCGCGTAGCGATGGTGGCGCGATTCGTTGGAGGGCAGATGGCGCCACTATTGGACTATAAGAGCCGCGTCGGTGAGGCGGCGTGGTTCAGTAGTGTGCGTGACCGTTCCGGGAGGAGGGTGGCTCCACGCGCGGCCGCACCGCGAAACCGTGCCCACTCGTCTCAACCACGGACATCCACTCGTTTTCTCGTCTCGTGAAAACATGGCGGCCAGCGACGATGAGCCGATGCATCTCTACGAGGTCTTTCAAAACTGCTTCAATAAGATCGCCAACAAGCAGCCCGGTGAGTGCCGTCAGCCATGAAACAGTCCCTTCCCCGAGCCAGGGTCACCTAAATCTTGTGCTGTGCGTGCGCGTCGTGTGAAAAATAGAGCGACACAGAGTGTCTCTTGTGTCTAGTGCTACTCGTTGCAAAGAAGCACCGTGCATTAAATCACGCGAGCATCGCTCTGGTGTGTTCCCTGTGTCAACAAGTACATACTGCAAGGGTTAAGCAGAGGTCTGGGTGTTGTGCGTCGGTCGATCGAGCCCTCGATTTTCTCGAGAATCGCGCCGGACGTATCTCTCGACCAACTCGGTCAGTCTGTGTTTTGGTTTGCTTGTCAGTGCTTTGGACAGTGCTGCCCCGTCGTAGTGAACTAACCCCCGGGAGAGATATGTTCTTCCTTGTGCTTCTCGCATCCCGTATGCGTTCTTTCTTTCTCGGCCGCTTGAGTTTTGTCCGACTGGCGTACTCGGCGTTGAAAAATATTGACGACATAACCTAAACACACACCAGAGACGACTCGTTGCTGTCATGTGCAACAGCGCCCGGTTGACTGTTCTGACGTGCCCGCGACGGCCGATACCGAGAAAAAGTCTCTGCCCGGTTATTATACATTGTCACGTATGTTCTGTGGTCCATGAATCTCGCGAGATTCCGAGTTAAAAGTTTGGTTCGCGATTGGGCGTGCTCCGATCGCTGCGTACCACGTGTCTTCACGACGCCGCTGGAGGAATCGTTAGAGGTTAATCGCTCGAACGTAATTCAGATCATAAATCCGAGTCTTTTTCTCGGCGGATAGCTTCGGGAGATTTGGAGGGAAGGGACTGCTGTGCTTTTTTTCTTTATTTTTATTCTTTTCATACACCTGCTCGACTAAGAGGGGGAGAGAAAGAGAAAGAGAGAGAGAGAGAGAGAGAAATTGCTCTCCGTGGAGCGATGCGCCGTAACCGCTGCGTGTCGTAGAACCGTACCGAAAGTGGTTCTCAATTTTTCACAACCCCCGGGCACGTCAATTTCGGCACGTGTCTGCTTGTTTCTCGCTCGAGTAAATTACCGATGCTTATGCACACGTTAACCGCGGTCAAATATTCTTATCTGTTTTCAAAAAACGATGTTATCTAGCGGTGTGCGACATTGTTGAGCTTTAATTTATCTTCGATAAGCTTTTGCCAATATTGTTCGCCGTGATACAGCGAAATTATTTGATATTATAGTCGAGGAGGTAATTCTAGCGTCGGTTGTTCATACAACCGTGCTGTTTGTGAAACGATGGAGTTGTTCGGTTCAATCTCGTCTCGGTCAAGCAAAATTATTTTGTATTTCTCCGTGTTTATAGTACAGTTGTTTCGCGTAGTACGCACGTTTGATTGTACACAGTTTTGTTTACGACTTTTGTAGATTCTTTAACGATACGTTCGTTAAAATTAAAACAAAATGTGGAAGGATTGACACTGTACAAAAATATTTTGGAGGAAATGCACAAAGAGATGTGACAAACTAAAATTACCATATATTTTCACAAAATGTAATAAATATACATATGATATTCTTGTAATCTGTATTATAGTGGGAGGAAGTGGGGATGGTTTCAGAATTACGCGGATTTTCAGTTACGTGGCACGTCGGTGTCCCAAACCCCTGTGTATTTCGTGGAACAACTGTAGTTTCTGAAAAATAATTTTTCCAAAACGATTTGAAATCTTTTTTTGGTTGAAAAATTTAGGCACCTAATTAGATTTTCGGCAAGGAATTTTTTTCTCGAAAGTGGGTAGGATTTCGAGGGTATGTCTAATGACCAAAAATTATTGTAATTGACCCCCGCAACTGAAAATAATTTTTCCAGAACGATTTGAAATTTTTTAATTTTGTCGAAAAGTTTCATACCTTCTCGAATTTTTTTCTCGAAAATGAGTAGGATTTCGAGGGTATGTCTAATGACCAAAAATTATTGTAATTGACCAACGCAACCGAAAATAATTTTTCCAAATTGATTTGAAATTTTTTAATTTTGTCGAAAAGTTTCATATCTTCTCGAATTTTTTTCTCGAAAGTGGTTAGGATTTCGAGGGTATGTCTAATGACCAAAAATTATTGTAATTGACCCCTGCAACTGAAAATAATTTTTCCAGAACGATTTGAAATTTTTTAATTTTGTGGAAAAGTTTCATACCTTCTCGAATTTTTATCTCGAAAGTGGGTAGGATTTCGAGGATATGTCTATTCACCAAAAATGCCTGTAATTGACTCCTGTAACTAAATATAATTTTTTTAATATGATTTGAAGTTTTTTAATTTGGTCTTAAAATTTCAGATATAATCGTTTTAAAGACATATCGCAAGTTTAAAACGCTGATCGCCAATAACTCCCCTAGGCGATAAACGTATTAAATTTTGTACTTTAAAGAAGTTCGATAGATATTTGTCATTGTATCGTCGAGTAAAAAGATTAGCCTTATTCGGATTTCATCGGGCCAATAAATTCTTCCACACTGGATCGCGTTACGTTTAATATTGATGGTGGCGCGTATCTTGTATTTAATCGGCGATTAGATACACGATTCGTGTCGAGTTTTACGCGATGTTTGGAGAGATCCGTGGCAAATTCGAAAATACATGTCGGTTTGTTTGAGATCGATCGTCGCCTTACTCATTTATATTCCGATGTTTGAACGGCACGTATCAGGTTCGTTAAGCGTCAATTGTTTCGTCGAGGCAGTCGCCAATTGCCAACAATCCGATTAATTCTTCGCTCGTTTCGGCCGGTTAATTTGAACGATTGCCACTTTCAGTGGAAACACTGCACTGTACGCAGTCTATTGTACGCAGCGATGGGCAAACTATATCACGAAAAGCTGCCAATGTAGTTTCAAAACTTTCCCGGTATTAGTTTTAAACGTATCAGAGTTCCTCGTTATTAACAGACGACACTTTGAACAAAAGAAAATTTTATTTCATTTTTTCATTCTCAACAATTTTATGCCACCTGTACCCCACACATAGAAGTCACCATACCAAAAATATAAATTTTTTTTACGAAGTATATACTACTAAGATATAACAAAATTCAGAGCACAACATATATACATACAAAATATGTCAATATCTTTCTATTCTCTTATCAAATTTTATCATAAATTCAATGTCATCAATGTTCATTATACAGAGTGTTCGATTTTAAATCTGTAAATATGAATTACTTGTAAATTACCTTTTGTATAAAAAATGGTTCAGTCAAGGTTTACATAAGTGATTTCAGGGGAGGCATAATCTAGGGTAATTAGTTATTCTGCTACGTTTTCTTAAATGGAATGTAGAATTTTTAAAAATTAAACAATAAGATCAGTCAACTCATAACAAAAGAAAGGGAGAGTCCTACAGATTATTAAAATCATTTGCAATTCATTTCTGTCGATACGATGGTATAGTTGTACAAGAATAAAGAAGTCATTCGTTCATGTATATTTCTTTATATCGATAGAAAAATTTAGCATATCTTTTTAGTTCGTGTAATCGAGGTTTTTGCATTTCTATTTAAAAATTCAAAATACTTAAAAATACAATATAGGTACATGCATCGTCCTTGATTCGAAGATCGCGAACAGGACCCCCTCCCCTCTGGTGCATCATTGCCAGGGGGTATTAGGAATAACTAGCTCTCTCATCGTAATCAGAGTCGTAAAGGAACGGATATAGGAGTCCTGTCAAACTCTAGTTGTAAGTTGGCGTAAGGAAGTTTTCTCTTGGGTTATTCCTACTGTCGAAGTCTAATACAACTCCTCCAGAGACGTGACTCTTTACCCCGTGACATTGCCAGGATCGTTTTCGTTCATTTTCACCATTAACTGATTTAGAAGTTCAGGAAAATCCGTTACGACACTTGGCCCTATACATTAATTATAGGAATTATAGGAACAAATTTTTTGAAATATTTATTCATCAGTTTATAGAAATTTATCACTTTTTTTCAAGCGACGTATCACTTCCTTTGAGAATCGCTGATTTATACAAATTTATTCGTTTTCAGATTCATACCTTAATATTCCATTCTTTCGTTGGATATATTAGAAATACGTATTTCGTGGAATTTGTTCGCTTTTGTATTTATTTAAATTGTACTTCGTTTCAATACATTTTAGTTTGATCTAATTGTATTTAATTAATGGACTGTTAGATAAGGACCATTACAATGATATTTCAAGTTAGGTTTACGTCCTCGTAAAATTTTTATTCCGTTGAAATTTTTAGAAAGACAATTAGAAAAATTACCAAATTAATTGATTAGAAACAAAGTGCAACAATATGTGGCAAGAGATAACAAAAAATTATGTGAATTTGGTTGAGAAACTCTGTCACAATTACTTTCTTCTACATTGCATCATTCGATTATCGCTTATTTTTGTTTATTGCGACACTTTTTAGCGGGTAACGAGTTTGAAAATATCAATGAATTAAAAACAGTATTGAATAACATTTTAATGGAAAATCAAAGAAGTTTTATAGCGTTGGTATAACAGCTTTGTCGATAAAATGGGCGGGAGTTATTGAACGAGAAAGGGATTTATGGTTTTTCATAAAATTCAATGGTATGTTTGAAATATTGCTTTAAATTTTAGTACCAAATTCGGCATGAACTTATGGGATGGCGTAATATAAACGAAGCAATAACTTACAAAAATATCTTTCACCATTATGTATAATCTAAAATTAGTTATCATACAATATCTTTTAAAACATTCTCTAACGTGCAGCTCAGGCTTTCTTTCGCATGTTTCCCTTTTTCTTTAGATTTTACTGTCGAAATACACTGGGCAATCTTTATGTTTTTCTTGGGACGACGTTCTTTGTTTGAACTAATAGCGTAATATAAACACGATTCGATCTAGTCTTACCTTAATCATGTTACAATTGTCTCTCGAAGTACGCGGTTTCTTCGTGATTTTTTAAGTCATTGAAGAGTTTGTGTCTCAGTTATTTTTACGAATTTTGATAAAATCGATTAGGTGCATATTTTTGACACT